TGAAGTGCTAAAAGCTTTGCAAGCAGTTTCAAGAGGAGAAAAGGTTCATCCATTCTGGAAAGAAATGATCGTCAAGACATACAAACTTTTGGCTGCTGAAAATGAGAAGCAAAGAGGAAAACTTCCTTATGCTGCTCCTGGCCCAAAGGGTAGCCAGGCAAAAATGGAGTACACGGTTGATTTCCAAAAGAAGGGAGTGATTGAAAAGAGTCCGAAACCTGGAGAAGAGATCATCGATAGAAGCATGTCGAAGGTAAAATTATTCACTCTGCAGATTTTGCTTTACTATCCATTGAACATCGATAGCAAAGTTGTAGCTACATACAAGCCTTTGTTTTTACATTCGGACTTTAGAAAAAACATGTTTCTAATCATCTATGTTGACAAACTGATGTGTTTCTTAGAGAAACTGCAAAATTTTGCTGATGCAATAACAAACAGTAAGATACAAAAAGATACAATAAGACAGTAGTTAATTATGTTTGAAGGGCAAAGCATTTGAGACTGTTTCCGTTAGTTCATTGTCGCATGGCTGTTGTCACAAGGCTGTTGTCACAAGGCGATGATCACATGACTTTTTCATAAGGCTGTGTGTTGCAAGGTTGTTATCTTTTTGTTGTTGCCGTAGGATATCCTAATAAGGATTTTATCATGATGCTTTTATCTGACGTATGGACAGTTAACTCAAAATAGGTGAAGTGACGTAATCGTCGAGGCAAAATGGAAATCAATTTTGTTATTCAATGGCTTAATAAAAGTCTTGAGCATATTTTACAGTAAATAAGGGCACATCAGCTTAGACAGCGCTTGTTCACTTTGAATTCTATTTTCTCTGTTCGTAAGTTTAATCCTTCCAATGTTATGTTTTTCATAAAATATTTTAGGATTCGCCAGAAGAATGACTGCAAACAAACCGAGAAAGCCCTGAGACAAAGCAAAAGACAAGCGCAAAGTTTCTTTAAACTGATTACTGATTATGTGTAAACATTGCAGATTTAAAGTTGTAGATTTTTCTTTTAATACATATTTTGATTATATCATTGGTTGCTTCATCGTTTAGTTTATCTTTATTTTTCTTTCGCGTAACAATGTAAGACAAAATGAACAGAATCGATCGTGCATCACGGCTAGGTTATCTAAAAGTCTCATTTATTATGAATAAATCGTCAAAATCTGAATCAAAAATATTCTGCAAGAATATGGCCTCGGTATACTGATCTTTGTTACCAAAGAATAAGAACAAGTGATAAATCGCTTCACCAAAATATTATCAAATTTCAAGGAAAATGAATTTTAAATTGCTTTGATTTTAACGGGAGGTTAATATCAGTCTATGTGAAGCAGCTGAAATGCCCCAACCTCCACCCCCCCCCCCGCTAATACCTTCCTAAAGACAGTTTTGTTTTTATTTTCATTTGAATACAACGTAGCATACAACGTGGGAATCGAAAAATTCACATGGGTGAGCCCTCAAGTGGAAAGCGGGTAGCATGCAGAAGGATCCACTAGAGATTGTGAAATCGTAAGGCTGTTGATTAAATG